GGCATTGCTCTATATACAACACTATCAGAATTCAAGGAATACCTTTTATTAATTTACTTTTCACACTTCAAGAATTGTTTTTAATTCTCTTAATTCATGAGTTCTCCAAGTTTTAAATGCTATTAAGAGAATTTCTATTGAGCAAGAGATACCTGGCTTCGAATAATGAACTGGATGAAGGATAAAATTGCTCTTGAAAGTCTAGAGAGTTGGCAGAATATGTACTTGCATTCTAAATCACAAATGTTTTTTAGACATGTATAGACTTGTATTTCTCACCTCTCTGTCACTTGGACATATCACATCTCTTCTGGGTGACCTGGGATTTTATTACCCCCGTTCCTATTTTTCAGTTAGCTGTCATTCTGAAGGGTATAATTGGAATGCAGCCCTGTCGTCTTTGTCTAGAAACCATGGCAACAGCACTGGAAATTCAGGACTAAACTGCCCCAGGTTGTTTTGTTGGAATGACAGATTCTTTGGCGACAGCTATGTCTTACAGGGTCCCATTCCAGACATATCCCTTCATTCTTCCCACTATGAATGCTGACCTTGGGGTTCCTGTCCCTCCCAGTTATATTTTTAACATGAGGGGGACACACTTAAGAGAAAAAAGAAATTTTTGCATGAAACGTATCAAAAGAGTTGGACACAATTAGCTCTATTAAATGGTAATAAAAACAAAAAAAGTCAAACTTCTGCATTTGGGGAGATGTCCCATAAACTGTGATTAATTTTACAGTGTAAAGCACTGTAAGACAGACAAAGGTCAGCACTTACAGCTTGAGTAATATGTACCATAAACGAGAATTCCCAGATCTATCTCATACCATAAGACAGAAATTGTTTTAAGTCTACAATTTAAATGCTCTAATACAAAAGGATTTCTATGAACTGTAGCTATCAGTCATCTTTGTCTCAACAAAGTTGATAACAAGATTTCATCGTTGAATGAAATGATTTCCAGAAAACTCTGCTTTATATTAAGGGCTCAGTTTAGGGTCAAATAGTATTTGGTTAGGAGTGCTCCTCAACACTCTTTCTCTATAAATATCTTTCCTTCCTTTTTCTGAAATCTGACTAGATGGGTGGAGTTCCTATCATAACAAGAAAGCCAACACATTAGAATTCTCAGGAGTCGGTAGTGGAAAATAGCTCTGTAGAGAAATGATCTATTTGCAATGTGCCCAGTCTCCAGCCTCCTGTAATATGAATCTGGACCTCTACGTGGCCTAGAATTATCCAGCTGTCTTTCAAATGCTGCTAGATTAGCCAGCTGCAAGGGAGGGGAAAGAAGCATTTAGTAGTCATTCTACAAGCTTTTACTGAGCACCTAATTTATGCCAGTGTCATGGTTTGAATTATGTCCCCCAAAAAATGTGTGTATCAATTTGGCTAGGCCATGATTCCTGGTACTGTGTGATTTTCCTGTTTGTTGTAAACCTGCCTCTATGATGTTAATGAGGGAGGATGGGTGGCAGTTGTGTTAGTAAGGCAGGACCTGATCTACAAGACTGGATTGTGTCCTGAGGCAATCTCTTGAGATATAAAAGACAGAAGTTAGCAGTGAGACAGGGGGACCTCATACCATCAAGAAAGCAGTGCCAGGAGCAGAGCACGTCCTTTGGACCTGGAGTCCCTGTGCAGAGAAGCTCCTAGTCCAGGGGAACACCAAAGAGAAGAAGGCCGACAGAGAGAAAAAGCCTTCCCCTGGAGCTGAAGCCCTGAATTTGGACTTTTAGCCTACTTTACTGTAAGGAAATAAATTTCTCTTTGTTAAAGCCATCCACTTGTGGTATTTCTGTTATAGCAGCACTAGATGACTAAGACACGCCAGGCATTGTCCCAGGTACTCAATTTGGAGCTGCACCTCTAAACAAAGAGGTGGCCAAGACAGATTGCACAGTGCAGACATAAAAGAGAGAGCCCACACCTCTAAATGCTGTCTACGGTTAAAGTTACTGAAATAATGCAAAACCATTACGAGACTCTGCTTTTCCAGACTGCATGTTTACATACCATCCAAATGTTAGTGTTTTCAAAAGATCAGTCCTTTGAGCACGGGCAACTACTCTCAGAAAATGCTAAAAATAAAAGTGAAGAACAAACATCCATTAGGCACCCAGAAGTGATTTAGAATGAAGCCCCAGGACTCTATTCCACAAACTCCTCTGACATGAGATAGAAAGTTTAGGTCCTGTGGGAAGAACATTAAATTTGCCCTTGTCCACCCCCTGTATCTCCTCAAAATGTTCACACACTGATCCAATATTCCCTGGGCCCTCTGAAGTCCCAGGAAGAGCTCTTGATCAATAGCCTCACCTGTGTTCATGGGTCCAAATAAGGTGAGTATGGGTACCACAAGTTCTAAGACGAATCTAACAAAGCTGGGAGTCCCACAGCCTATTTCATGATGACTCTTATTGGATCATAACACACTATATAAGTACCTTTGTGGTGTGCCGCAGTCTTTCCTATGTGATTGGTTTATGATTCGGACACTTCAGGAAACGTTGACTTACCTTTCACAATCTTCCAGGGAGCTCTTATCAGTCATTGATTCATTCAACAGACGTCTATTTATTGATGGAAACCCTGGTGGCTAGTGGTTAAGTGCTACGGCTGCTAACCAAAAGGCTGGCAGTTCAAACCCACCAACCGCTCCTTGGAAACTCTATGGGGCAGTTATACTCTGTCCTGTAGGTCCCTATGAATCAGAATCAACTTGATGGCAATGGGTTTGGTTGTTTTTTTTTTTTGGTTTCTATTTATTGATTACAGTGTGCCAATATTGTGCTAGGCTCTTGACATTCAAAGATAAACAAGAGAATATTCTTGCTCTGAAAGAGATTACCCTCCAGTAGCAGCCTGGAGGATTAATTCACCATAGATCCTCATCCATATTATGGTTTGGAATATCTGAGTCCCAAATTCACAGTAATCATTCAGGACATATACTATAGCCTTTTTCCTAGCCCCCATTCCTCTAATCTTTTTCCTCTTTCAATTTCAATTAGTTTTTTTCCTAAATTGAAGCCCTTGGATTGAGCACATTTGAGATGACTATTTTGTTCATTAAATATAATAGTCAATTAAAACAGGAAAACACAAAAAAATACATTAAGAATTTCCTCTAAAGTAAAACATATAACACACATGTGCTCGACAGTCTTACAATGTGAGGGGGGTGGGGCAAAGCGTTTCCTTCTGGATATGAGTCTACTGATTCGAGTAAAACTAGAGATGTGTCAGCCACACCCATAATACATTGTCTGTGACTGGGTTCTTACCAATTGGAATAAAAACCTGA